GGAGCCCGGCGGTATTTGCAGCGCAAGGCGAGACGGACCCCGCAGCCCCCCCCTGGGCACCTTGAGCGTCGGCAGCCACTTCTCGAGCGAGAGAGTCGACAGCAGGGCGGCGAGAGGGTCCGGCGGCGTCGGCGGAGGCGAGGCGGCGGGAGGTCGGACGGCCGGCAACGCGGCGGGCGGCGGCGGCAGCGGCGGCGGCGGCGGCGGTGGAGTCTGCGGCGGCGGATGGTGCAGAGCCGCGCTGGCGTTGGGGTCGACTCGGATTCGAAGCCGCCGCCCGGGCATCATCAGGTTTGGTGGAACGGTGACGGGGATGCTGAGGTCGCCGACAAGGGCCTCGAACACCCCGCCTACCGGCACACCATCCGGGACCACCACGTCGTACTCGACTGTCGAGTTGGCGGGCGGCGGCGAGGCGCCAGGTCGGGCTGCCCCGCAGGCGTCGCAGGCGGTCAACGCGTCTCCGTTTTGGAGGGTGCACGCCGCACACGTCCACGTCGGGGCCGGCTTTGCCGTGTGGCAGACCTCGCACTCCTCGTCGAGCCCTCGGTTCTCGAACGTGCATGAAGCGCAGGACCAGGGCGGGAGCGGCCGCGCAGCCTCGCACGCCTCGCATGAGCGTCGGTCATCTGCGTTCTCGAGCGTGCACGAATCGCAGGACCAGACCATGGGGCAGCTTCCCAGTCCGTCTGTCTGCACTTCCACGCAGCGGTTTTTTTCCCGATGCTCGGTGGATCTTAGCCTGTGCGCGTTATTCTCGCCCAGAGAGAGATTTTTGAAGACCAACAAGAAATCACAACTTTCACAGTGATTTGTTTGTTTGGGCTCGGCAGCTTGTTAGCCCTCACTTGAGCACTTGAGCACTGGATAGGGTCGATTCCGCATGGTACGGGACCCCTCAGCCGAAAAGCTGGGGCCGGTCCCGTAGCCGAGAGAGCCCGCGCCGATGAGTTCGACGCGGTCGGGGGGCCTTGCGGAGAGGCCAGCGAGATGGCGATCGCTGTACTTCATGTGTCATCAAGTGACCGGCTGACAAGCCAGAGGTCGATACTCTGGACGACCCATAGGATGCCACGAATGCCTGAGGGAGAGGGAGGCGAGGCCAGAGGTTGGCCTTTGCGCGCTTTTCTCTGCATAGGCTATCTATATTCTTTGCATCATATTCTCTCTGGGCCCTCTATATTCTCGAGAATATTCTCGAATATTGAGAATATTTTTGCCATACCGTTTTTAGCCCCCCGCTACCCGGTTGCACTCGTGCGACGTAGCGGGGGGCCACAACTACGTTTACGAAAACATAAGTAGTGTAGTAGTCCCGCGAGGTGTGAATTGGCCGCCCCAGTAGCCCCCATTTCCACTGGAAGCGCTTTTCGTGGCAAACCCAAAGTTGCGCTGCGCGCGAAGCCGCTTTTGAAAGCGCGAAACGAATCTCGTCCTACCTCCCACCGGCCCCACCGGCTTTTCGTCGCCCATGCTCGGTCTCGACTTGAGTGCCGCTCGACTGGCCGATGAAGAGCGACCCGTACGACGCGCACTTGTCGTCCTCCCTCCTCGCCACATGACGGCCGCCCCCCGACACCGACAGTCGCGCTCCGCACGCCTTCGAGGTCAGCTGCGGCCGAGCGACGATCGGCTCGTCTCCGATCGCTGGGCGCGGTCACTCTCCGGCCCATCACCCGCCTGCCGATCACCTGTCCGCCTCGCCGCGCGCGGGCCGCTCGCCTGCTCGCCACCGCCGCCGCGCTTCCCCGCGCCGCCACGCTTCCCTGCACCTGACCGCGCTGCGCAGACGGCGCGCTCTGGCAGACAGAGCAGCGGCCGCCCAGGCGGTCGCTGCTCCGCCCCGTCCGAGTCCGTCCGCCCGCGCGTGCCGCTGCCGCCGCCGCCGCCGCCGCCGCCGCGGCGCTTCCCCGCGCCGCCACGCTTCCCTGCACCTGACCGCGCTCGGCAGACAGAGCAGCGGCCGCCCAGGCGGTCGCTGCTCCGCCCCGTCCGAATCCGTCCGCCCGCGTGTGCTGCTGCCGCCGCTGCCGCCGCTCCGGTGCCCGTGTGTCGTGAGAGTAATGCTTTGTGTATGGCAGGCACCCGTGTCGCATGTTATGTGTGTGGACTTGTCGCACTTGAGCCTCTATGATTAGTAAGTAGACCGTCTGCGCAGCGCTCTCGGAGAGGCGCTTTGTACTCGGGTTTGGATGGTAGCGGGGGGCCCCGCCGGAGGCTGGTTACTGATTTCCCTTGTGGTTGTGCGCGGTGCGGAGGAATATTTGACCACAACAATCAGAGATCTCCGATGGCAAACGCGGCTGCAAAGTCGGCAAGGCTCTGCGTTGCAGGCTTCGCTGCAGGTGCAGCCGCCGAAGGAACAATAGGCGCAGCAGCGGCAGGAGCAGCCTGACATTCCGGGCCTCGTGCAGGTAGCCGCGCGTCGGCTGCAGAGCCGGCTGTCGCGAGGTAGGCCTCCAGCTCCTCGGGGATCGCGCGCTTCGCCTGCTCAAAGAGGCGGGCGGCGCCGAGCGCAAAGGCACCGCACTCGGCGCCCGGCCGCAGCAGAGAGACGACGCAGCCGTGCGCGCCTTGCCGGCCGGTGCGGCCCGCGCGGTGGACGTACTGGGCGGTGGAGGCGGGCGGGTCAAAGTTGACCACGCCGGTGAGACGCGCGATGTCGACGCCGCGCGACGCCACGTCCGTGCAGAGCAGCACTGCGCTGGTGCCTACTCAATATTAACCCGGTGCTGGTCCTCCTTGAATGGAGCGAGTCCGCGCTGAGCAGCGCTGGTGCGGTGCCCGCGCGGAAGTCGCGCAGCACCTGCTCGCGCTCGCCCTACAGAAGAGAGGCCGCCCCACGCGTCACGGGCAGCCGCCCCTGGAAGCCTGCGCCTGCAGAGTGCGCGAGCCTGCTCGAGGGAGCCGTGCAGCGAGCC